GTGTGTGTGTGTGTGTCTCCTCAGATGAAGAGGAGGCCTCAGCAGAGGAGAGTCAGAACATGCTGAGTTGTGACCACAAGTGTGATTGGGTGCTGTGTATATGTGGATGTGGGTCGCCTTTTTGGGAGATCAGGGTTGTATCTGTGTATCAGACATTAACCTCTGAACCTCATGTTAGACATTTATAAAATGATAATAAGAGGGCATCTTTCTGGAACATCCATTTTCTGTGAAGGTTGAAAAAAAAACTATTATATGATAAACAAACTGGTTTTTATGTTAAAATAGGTATGTTTATTAAAAGGACTAGCATACATATTCAACATGCTTTTAATTCTTTTTTATTTTTAATTTCAGTCGGCATACAATGTTATATTTTAGGTCAACAACACAGTGATAATACATTTATATAACTCGCGGAGAGATCACAATAAATCTGGTACCCACCTGACACCATACATAGTTATTACATTATGGACTATATTCCTTATGCTATATTTTACATCCCCATAACTATTTTGTAACTACCAATTTGTACTTCTTAATCCCTTCCCCTTTCCACCTACCTCCCCAACCCCACCCCCCATCTGGCAACCATTAATATGTTCTCTGTATCTATGTTTGTTCCTGTTTTATTTGTTTATTTTGCTCTTTAGATTCCACATATAAGTGAAATCATATGACTTTTGCCACTCAGGATGATACCCTCTAGGTCCATTCATGTTGATGCAGATGGCAAGATTTCATTCTTCTTTATGGCTGAGTAATATTCCATTGTATCTATGTACCACCTCTTCTTTATACATTGATGGACACCCAAGTTGCCTCCAGATCTTGGCTATTGTAAATAATGCTGCAATGAACGTATAGATTCACATGTCCCTTCAAAATAGTGTTTTGGTTTTCATTGGATAAATACCCAGAAGTGGGATTATTGGATCTTTCTTCGCCTCTTGTTATAGTCTTTGTTTTAATGTCTATTTTGTGTGATATTAGTATTGCTCCACCAGCTTCTTTGTTTGTTTCCATATTTATGAAATATCTTTTCCATCTTTTTATTTACAGTTTGTGTGTGTCTTTTGATCTGAAGTGAGTCTCTTGTAAGCCAGCATATGTAAGGGTCTTGTTTTCTTACCCATTTATCCACCCTCTCTTTTGAATGGAGCATTTAATCTATTTACATTTAAAGTAATTTTTGACAGATATGTAGTTATTGCAATGTTATTATTCATATTTTTAATCTTTTTTTTCTTCTTTTTCTTAAAGAAGTTCATCTCACATTTCTTGTAATACTGGTTGGTGTTGATGAACTCCTTTAGCTTTTTATTATCTGGGAAGCTCTTTATCTGTTCTTAAATTCTAAATGATAGCTTCATTGGGTAGAGTAATCTTGGTTGTAGGTTCTTGGTTTTCATCACTTTGAATATTTGATGCCAATCCCTTCTTGCCTGCAAAGCTTCTGTTGAGAAATTAGCTGACAGTCTTATAGGAGCTCCCTTGTAGGTAACTAACTGCTTTTCTCTTGCTGCTTTGAAGATTCTCTTTGTCTTTAATCTTTGCCATTTTAATTACGATGTGTCTTGGTGTGGACCTCTTTGGGTTTATCTTGCTTGGGACTCTCTGTCCTTCTTCGGTTGGGTTTATCTTGCTTGGGACTCTCTGTCCTTCTTGGGTTTGTGTGTCTACTTCCTTCACCAGGTTAGGGAAGTTTTTTGTCATTATTTCTTCAAATAAGTTTTCATTTCCTTGCTCTCTCTCTTCTCCTTTTGGTACTCCTATGATGTGAATGTTGTTATGCTTGATGTTATACCAGAGTTCCCTTAAATTGTCTCTTTTTTGCGGGGGGATTCTTTTTTCTTGTTGCTGTTCTGAAATGGTGTTTTCTGCTACCTTGTCTTCTAAATCGCTGATTCAATCCTCTGCTTCATTTAAACTACTTTGACTCCCTCTAATGTATTCATCATTTCAGTTATTGTATTCTTCATTTATGACTGGTTTTTTAATGTTTTCTATCTCCATTTTTATGTTTTCTGTCTCTGTTAAAGTTCTCACTGAGTTCATCTACTCTTCCCCTAAGTTCATTGCGCATCCTTATAACCGGTGTTTTGAACTCTGCATCTAGTAGATTGCTTGTCTCCTTTTTGTTTAGTTCTTTTTCTGAAGCTTTGTTTTATTCTTTCATTTGGGACATGTTTCTTTGCCTCCCCATTTTGGCTACCTTCATGTGTTGATTTCTATGTATTAGATAGGGCTGCTGTTTCCTGGTCTTAGTAGAATGGTCTTATATAGTACATGTGTTGTGGGGTACAGTAGCACAATCTTCCCTGGTCACCTGAGTCAGATGCTCCAGGTATATCCCTTTAATGGGTTGTGTGTGCCCTCTTATTGTAGTTGAGCTTTGGTTGCCCTTTTGAGTGTCAACGGGAGAGACTGCCCCTCAGACTGATTGGTTGTGAAGATTGCCCAGTGAGGGGCTGTACCTATGGAGCAGGATTCACTTTAGCAGGTCTCTGGTGCCTGTTCAGTCTGCCCCTTGGGTGTGTTTTCCTCAGATGCAGTCCCAGGTGGTGCTTGGGCTTGGTCAAAAGTCAGACACTGGGCGGGCTGGCCCTGAGGCATCCTGGGAGGAGCCCTGCTTCAGGCCAAGGTCTGCTGCAGCCTGTGCGCTGCTTGGGGCCATCTGGCATAAGCCACCAAGCAATCCACAGCTGTCTGCCACCTACATTGGGCATAGAGGTGCCTAAGGAGTCCAAGCCACGAACTGAGGCTGGCTGCCATTAGTGCTGAGCTTGGGGCTGCTCAGCAAGAGATATGGGGCACACTGAGGCCAGATACTGCTTGTTTGGGTTTTGTGAACCTTTGAGAAATTTTAGGAGAGTCCACAGCATGAGCCAAGAAAGGCTGTTTGTATAGAAAAGCCACTGGATTTGGCTTGGGTGCAGTCTTGGAACCACCAGGGTGGGGTGACCAGTGTTAACTAGGTTGATGGAGACTCAGGTATGGTGGTGGCCTGCATTTGCACACTGGGACAGTGCAGGGCTCAACATAGAAACAGTGGAGGCTCTGGGGGAAAAAATGGCATAGAAAAAAGAGGCTTTGTTCATCCCTCTTGCAACTAAGTCAAAGTTGTGACAGAAATACGGAGGAAACAGCAAACAAAGTCACCTGGGACCTAGATGAACAGAAGCACTACAACTAGGGAGAGAAATAAGAAATCACCCTGCAATGGTTGGAGGTTGGAGCGGGTAAAGACATGAAACTGCCCAATCTTGAGTGGCTGAGTGGGACAGAGACTACAGCAGCAGCAGCTGGCCGCTGCAGACACCTCTTAAAGGGTCCATATCTGCGAGCGGACTTTTGCGGTGAGGGACCTGCTCGCTCTGAGCACCAGCACCAGGTTGGCTGCAGGAGGGCGGGGGAAAGGAGGTGAGGGGGCACCAGGGACTAACGGGGACACTGAGGAGGCAAGGTGCTCTCCTGGGCAGAAATGCTTGTGGTATCCATTGTTCCTCTGTAGAACCCTCCTCTCCTCCCAGTATGCGGATGCAATGCTGCCATAGCTGAGATGTCATTAAACTGGATAACAGAGGTCTCTCTGCCCAGAAGATTCCCTGACACTCCACCTCCTCCAACTCATGGCCCCACTCAAGCCACATCCAGTTGTACCCTTAGCGAGTCTGGTGCTCCTTGATGAGCCAGCTGCAAGACTCTCAATGGTGGCAGCTGGCTTTGGTTTCTGGTGTGGTTTCTTGAAGCAACTGTTAGCATAGTATCTGTGGATTGCTTGCTAAATCTTAACAGGTGGCCCTGAGGAGCACAGGCTGAGGCTAACCATGACCTACAGCTGAACCCCTCTCGGGACTGTGCTGCTAGACACCTACTACACAAAGCCATGCTAATAAGACTGGGAGACTTAGGAGCTTTGCTTAGTACATACAAACATAAACAGAAAGGCAGCCAAAATGGGAAGATAAAGAAGCAGAAACCATATGAGAGAACAAAACAGAGATCCAGGAATAATGGAGTCAGGCAATCTCGCAGATGCAGAGTTCAAATCACCGGTTATAAAGATGTTCAATGAACTTAGGGGAAGTATAAGTGAATTCAGTGAGAACTTTAACAAAGAGACAAAAAATCATAAAAATGGAAATGGAAATTATAAAAGGGAACCAGTCAGAAATGAAGAACACATTAACCGAGATGAAGAGCATACTAAGTGGAAAAAACGGAGTGGATAAAAAAGAGGAACGAACCACCGATATAGAGGATGGGGAAGCCAAGGACACTCAATCAGAATGGCAAGAAAAAAGCCAAGACTATAATAATAATTTAAGGAGCCTATGGGACACTATTAAATGTAAAAAGATCCATGTCATAGAGTACCGGGGAACACCAAGATGTTGAAGAGCTATTTTAAGAAATAATGCTGGAAAACTTCCCTAACCTGGTGAAGGAAATAAACATAAAACCCCAGGAAGCTCAGAGAGTCCCAAAAAAGAGGCCCACACCAAGACACATCATAATTACATACCAAAAGTTAACTACAAAGAGAGGATCTTAAAAGCAGCAAGAGAAAAGCATTTAGTTACCTACAAGGGAGCTCCCATAAGACTGGCAGCCAATTTCTCAAAAGAAACTATGCAGGACAGAAGGGCTTGGCACAAAATATTCAATATGATGAAAACTCAGGATCTACAACTAAGAATACTTTATCCAGCAAAGCTATCATTTAGAGTCAAAGGACAAAAGAGAGCTACCCAGACAAAAATAAGCTAAAGGAATTCATCAACACCAAGCCAGTATTACAAGAGATGTTAGAGGGACTTCTTTAAGAAGAAAAAAACATGTATCAAAAACATAAAT